CCTTTACTCTTTCCGTGTGTTGCACACTTCTAGCTATATTATTTGTTATTGCCAACTGACATGAAATTCTCCTTGATGCAGTGCAAGAATGTAATAAGCAAGCTCCAAAGGAGAATAGACAAGGAGGGTCAACAAATTGTACCACTGCTAACAGATTTGTGGAAGAAGATTGAAAACTCTGGTTACATGAGTGGAAGTGGAAATCATTTGGATTTACGAAAGATTGATCAGCGTGTTGATAGATTAGAGTATACTCAAGTTATGGAGCTTGTTTCTGATGTGCAGTTAATGCTGAAAAGTGCAATGCACTTTTATGGGTTCTCACATGAGGTATGATTCATTTTTCCGAAGGCTTCTATATTATTTGATGCTTGTTTGCCTCTTATTTTGATTTTCTACGGGTCCAAATTTCACCAAAAAAGAAAAAAGGACGGTTGGAGCTTATGCTCATGCATCCAAGAGGAAAAAAATCTTTTTATTTGTTTTGGAACTTTCTTCTAAACGGAACCTGGAAATTCATTCTCATGTATCACTTAGCAAATGTACCAAATCTCCCTCATGAATTCCAATGAACTTACTCTGCATCTCTAAAGTTGATATCTTATTTGCTCACTTACTCTGAAATTGTAATTCGATTCTACAGGTTAGATCTGAGGCAAGGAAAGTACATGATCTCTTTTTTGATTTATTGAAGATTGCGTTTTCAGACACAGATTTCAGAGCAGCCAGAAATGCACTCTCCTTCGCTGGCCCAGCATCCACCTCCACCTCAACCTCAGTTGCATCCCTTAGACAGACTGCTCTTGGTCAAAGCAAGAGACACAAACCAATGACTGATGTGGATTCTGATCCAAGCATTCCTCAAAAGTCGCTGCATTGTGGATCCACCCATCCAGGTGAAGATGCAAGGGTCAGAGTGAACGTGCATCAGAAAGAATCAAGGCTCGGGAGTGGAAGTGGCGGCACACGTGAGCAATGTCAACAGGCTGATTCTCCATTGCTAACTCATCCTGGAGAACTTGTTATCTGCAAGAAGAAGAGGAAAGACAGGGAAAAGTCTGTGGGAAAGCCTAGGACTGGATCAGCTGGCCCTGTTTCACCTACAAGCATGGGTCGTAATTTGAGGAGTCCTGGAGCTAGTTCAGTTCCAAAGGATGTGAGACTGACACAGCAGACCACTCATAATCAGGCATGGACCAACCAGCCTGCTCATCCAGCAAAAGGCAGTGGTGTTGGGATTGTTGGTTGGGCCAATCCCGTTAAGAGGTTGAGAACTGACGCAGGGAAAAGGAGGCCAAGCCATCCATGAATTTCAACAGTACTTTTATCACGTAATCTGAACAGGGATAATTCTTATAGTTAGGCTCAGATGCCAAATGTCTTTGGTGGCCCTTCATTGCCTATATAATTGCAGTTTCATACTGTCAACATAGTGTAGCTTTTCGATTCTCCCTCTATTGTATACCGCTCCATCCATGGTCTCAATGCAAAAAAATACTGTTCACTAGAGCTGAGTTGTAAACCCTACCCCCGTTTCATTTTCATATTTAGGGTATTCACTGTTCGACGTACCAGTAATGTTTACTGTTAAATTTTATTAACAAGTTCTTTAAACACTGCTGTTTCTTCCATCTCGTGAGGAAATAATACTGATTCTTGATCAGTTTGTCTATATCTTGAAACTTCTTAACAAGTTCAGAAACCCTCTGCAATTCAAACAAAGATTATCCGGTTTATGCCGAAGTCCAAATGCAGAGAAAGACCTGTCTTGCCATGTCTAATACATATGCAAGTGTCGGTTGAGAATGGAATTAGCACCCAAGGACATACAGACAGGCACCCTATATGGCTATATTCTACAGGACAACACATTTGCTGAGTATACAAAAATGGACTTGCAACCAGTCTCATATTCAACCAACTATACATTTATTTTTTACAATGACAGCATAAGCTAATTAATGATGGGGAAATCCTCTCCACCCAACAAGCAAAGTATATCTTCTGGCCTGAGCATTAGATTAACAGACATGAAACATTGTGTACAGATACAGACAGCTCACAACAGGGTAGCCTCTTCTATGGATCTGCTTGGCCCACTACTGCCTCTTGACTAGAATCATCATACTCAACTTCACTCATCTCCTCATCACTGCTTTTTTCTTCCAAGGCAGCTCCAATATCTTCTGGCTTGGCATATTTCTCGCAGTATTCTGGATACCAAGAAAGCATGAAGAACAACAGCTAAAATGTTACCAACAACTTGTTCACTTCTGTTCCAGCATGCCATACTAAAATTTTACCAAATTATATGAATGGAGTGACAAAAACCAGTCATATGCAATGCTACCATCCAGTTATGATCCCAACAAGAGTTATATGATGAAGAAAGATGGTGTTTGAAAAGGCAAATCCCATTACTAACAAAATAAAAAGAACCTTAGGGAAAGGATAAAACCTTTCACTTTCTGTTCAAAAGCAGCTCGATCTTGCATCAGAAGAGCCGCTGCCTCTCCATTCAATGGGTCTGATGGGTTGGGATAAAGAAGAAGCTGTGGAAGGAACACCTCAAACACATTTACCAGGTCTGTGGACCGAGAATTACAACATATAAGACTAAGACTGAAGTGTTTCTACAAGAAATTAAAGCAGCTCTGATTTCTATCCAGAATTAGAAAGCATAATTAGCGTCTTTACCAAACATGGGGCTCCAAGTCTGATTAATAACATCTAAACAAACAGAACCTGACCTGAAAATTGTACATCATTCCCCTTTAAGGCTCTAAGCAGATGAACATGGTGAACGACCAAATATAAAAATTTGAAAATTAAACAATCAAAGCATTCATATTTGCTCACATTTCATCCACATTCGGGTGGTATATCTTGTTAACAAAGCCTATTGAGGGAGATTTATATGGATAAGCATCCGGTAGCTCCACTCTTACCCTCCACACACCTCCATGATAAGGACCTGCCATGGTTCATCATTAGGAGGACAGAAATCAAAACTTCCTGCTTTTGCTCTAAACAAAAGTATTCTTTTCCCTCTGTAGCACTAAATTAGTAAGGTCACTAAGAAAGATAAGTGAACAGTAAATTAAATTCCTAGATGCTATTGCATACAACCAAGTAATAATTCTGGCAATTCAAGTTCATAGAGTCTCCACTTGGAAGGAAAAGAAAATAAAGAAACTGGGTAATGAAGATTTTACAATCATTTGGACCATGGAAATGTACATAGAACTCTTGCATGCCATCATTGAGCATCTCCACCTTGTAATCACTCATCATCCTAGTTTAAAAACCCAAAAAAAAAAAAAACCATCAAAAGTAAAGTCAAAATCAAGCACCCCATAACAAGAAAAACACAAAAGAATTAAACATAATTGAAGAGATTAATGAGAGGATTAACAGTTTCATCAAATCCATCTCTCGACGCTTGCTTGGTGATGACATGATTTTTCTAATTCCTTTCTTCTTTGGTTTGGTTTTTTTGATGGAGAGAGATAGAGTTTTGATGGAGTTTTTGGTAGTGTAACAAAGCAGTGAAACAAAGGCAGAAGATGTTCAGTCACCAATCAGTGGAAGTCAGGAAAAACAAGGGTTAATTTTCATAGAAAGACCTCAATAATTCAGTATTTTCGAGATTCCTCTCTTAGTTTGATAAACTTTTCAATATAGTCCCTGAATTATCAAGCTTTATAGGATTGGATTATCATTTAAAGATTCCTTCTCCTTAAATTAATCATCAAATCTTATTATTCTTCTTCTTCTTCTTTTATTTTGGATGAACAAATCTTCTAAAAAATTAATTTCATTTTAACTACATAGTCTTAAACTCCTAATTAATTCATTCTGTTAGTACTAGTAAACTAGGGAAGAATGCAAAAAAGTTGTACCTTTCTGTCAATTAAAAAAATTGAATAGGTAATTTTGAAAGGTGGATTTGCGGTTTCCCTTTTTGGGCCACTGAATTTCGTTTGCTAAGGCATGTTCTTGGTATATGTCTCAATATCATGGCGGATTTGCAACCAATAAAAACCCATGACTTTGGCCAAAAAAGGCCAAAAAAAAAAAAAAATCAATACCCATTACAAGTTGGAAATATCTTTGCGTTAAAAAGAAGCTCACCTTTTCCTATCCAAAAAAAAAAAAAAAAAAAAAAAGGGATAAAAGAAAAGCTCTTATTTTAGCTCTTGCTCTTACTTCTGAAAATCTACTCATTTAATTAGATAAGCACCACATGGATCTAAATATTAAGGATGGTGCTATAAGAATAACTTTTTTATACTTGTTTTTAATACAATTTTTACATGTTATTAAATAAATATATATATTAAATATCACAAATTTTACATGAATAAAAATAACTAATCATTTAAATGAAACATTAAATTGTACTAAAAAATAGGACAGAAAAATTGTTGCAAAATCATTTCCCAAATATACATGTGGGGCAAATAAAGTCAGAATGCCTTGATAGGTAGATTCACTTTCACCTGCAAAATTAT